GTGTGTGTGCATGCCCAAGGAATGGGGGAGAGGGAGGGGGAGGGTAAACTACTGTCGCAGGATGTCATTCTGAACCGACCGCCCGAGCAGCCTGCTTTCTCCGAGGATATCGGTGGTGCCTGCGGTGCGGCCTCCGGTGCCACTGGACCGGGCTGGGCCGATAACTCCAGATGACACATTGACACATAAGCGGGCCGGTGCCGGGCTTATATCGCCAAGGTCGGAGGAGAGCTAACAATAGCCCCCACGCACACCTGACTGCAGTCAGTATGCTTTACTGGCTTTGCACTTTGGCATCGCTTCACTCGTCGCGGTGAATCACACCGCTCGCCCCCCTCGGGCGGCCACCTTGCCGGGCACCGAACTCCAAAACTTATCTCCGTTTCGCTATCAACGCCACGCCCGTGCGGCACATTGTTGTCGCGAGTACTGTAGTATGACTAGAACTCGATGTGCCCGACCCCGAGGGGTCCTCCACTAGCCAACTCGTTGTACACGTGCCCACGTCCCAACTCGCATTGAACTGGCGAAAACTCACATTTACTGGCAAATTTTTTGCAAAAACTCGCGAAAAATACGCGAAAATTCGCGCAAAACTCTCAAAAAAATTCATCCCAACTCGCGCCTAACTCGTGCCAACTCGTACACTTGTTTTGGAAGTGGGGGACCCCTCGCCCGACCCCGACACTGCCACTCACGACATGGGCACGTGGGGTCGAATGATGAAGAGGTCTCTACTCCTAAATTTCCCCTCAGCAAATGATTCCGAGGTGGGTGCAGCACTGTGTACTCATTACCCGCCCCACGATGACCGCGCCGCGGCGCAGCCAGCGCTTTTCACGCGTAAATAACGCGCCCCTAATAAGTAGTCCACTTTGCGCGCGCCGCCCACGTGTGGAGCGGCTGGAAGGGGCGCGGGGGAGATGCCAATCACGTCGATAAACGCCGCGTCCGCGTACGGAGCACGGAGGCGGCGCCGCGCTGCAGAGAGAGCCGCGCACTGTGCGCGCCTAATAGGAAGAGTGGCGAGCTCCAGCCTCTCCAGCGGCGGGGCGGGGCGGGCGCGGCCTGCAACAATATTTACCCGCGCCGCCCCGCCGGCCCTGGCTATCGGCCGCGGGGGCGCGGAGCACTGCGGGTGCGGGGCAGGCCGTCGAACCCCCTTTGCTCCCCGCGGAGAGCGGCTGCGGCTGCGGCTGCGGCGGCGGCGGCGCGATGCACTGGACTTGTTGTCGTCGAGGCCGGTGTGACCATGGTGTGACTCACGGCTCATGGATCATGCACCGGGCCGAGCCGGAAGTCGCGCGAGGGCGATGAGGAGTGGTGCAACCGAGCAGGGAGACGGGGTCCGTATCGGCCGCGGCGGCGGGGCGCAAAAACAAAGCGCGGCCAGAGCACTAGCAGTCGGAGCGGAGTGACAATGATTCGGCGGTTGCACGGCCCGGCACAGCCCCACAGGCACAGGAGAAAGATCCGCTCGGGTGGGTGCTAGTTTTCTCATTAACCGATTTTGTTTTTCTTTCAAGTGGGATGTGCGCTTACTTACCAAACAGGTGCAGACAACTCCCACTGCAGCGGCAGGGTGCAGGCAGTACAAGCCCCGCCAGTGCCGCTGGGTATGGATAGCAGCAAGGCAGCGAGCCCGCCGAGGGGGAGGCCAAAGGATTAGGCAAACAGCTGCAGAGCCGCGGGGGGGCAGCTGCAGAGCAAAGCGGAGAGGCCGCTAGCACGAGCTGCGCCCCATGTAGGCCGAGCCATCGCACACAAAGCCTGCTGCTCGCGCGCGAGGCGTGCGGCGGTGTTTGTTTACCGCGCCGGTGGACTACGCCTCGCCGCGCCCGGGCCGGGCCGGCACAGGCCACCCGCGCGATTCTGTGCCTTCGCCGCCGATTTGTGTTTCTTATTTTACATATTTGCACTACATTACAACGTTTACTTCATTGTGACTTCACAATACATAATATGTTTTCCTAAAGCATTACCACACCGCTTTTAAGTTTCAATTGTGACAGGCGTGTTGTTGTAGTCCGACGCGTCAGCCGTCAGCCCGCGAGTTGGAGAGAATTCATTTAGAAATATTTACAGTATTTTAGCAGATTATTTTGAATACTTTTTGTGTGTGTTTTAAGTTATGCCCGTCTTCCGCCCTCCGCTTTTATTTGGCGGTGCAGCTTCCTCGAGCAGCGCTGCGGGGCGTGGCGGGGCGTGGCGACTCGCTCGCGGTCGCGCCTCTCTTGTCTCAAGGAATTCCCGGCGACGCGACGCGAAACGGCGAGAAGGCGCGGCGCTCCGCTCCAAACTGCGAGGCCCGCGGGGCCGGGGCGGTATGGGGACGACGACGCGCGCCTCGCAGCGCGCAGCGCGGGGACAGCAGCCGGCAGAGCGCGGCAGGCCAGGGTGGCGGGTGGAGGACCTCTGCTGACTCCGCTCCGTTTCCGCTGTGAAGACTCACTCTGTTAAACCCCAATGCACCCATAGAAGTGGAGAGCTCTAGGAACCATCCTATGGTTACCTCATGGGACAACCATAATGGCTACAAAATTAACCACCATAAGCTCTGTACGGCTGCAGATGCACAACCCCGCGCGATACAGCTCCAATGTCGGCTTAATCCTGATGACCCACAGCAGAACGTCGCCGCCGCGCCCACGGTAGGCCGGCAGGCTCGCGGCGCGGGGCCGAGTCAGCTGCCGAATGAGACAATATTTGGATAATCCTCGCCTCCGTCGTCCTCGTCACGCCGTCACGGCCTCGCGTACAGAATTCGAAGAGGAAGCGAGTCAAGTGAAGTCCGGGTGCAGCCTCTTGAGCCGGGGAGAGGGAGACTGGGGCTGGGGGCCGTCCCGCGCAAGCGAACTTCTCGATGAGTTTGCTCGGCGCGGGCCGCGTGCCAGAGGCGCTGCTGAACGCACACGCGCCGCCACGCCCCCCACCGCCACCGCCCCCGGTTCCTGCCCCGGCCCCGCCACCCGGAGCGCCTGGCGGGTAGGCATCCACAGCGCACTGGTGCGCGCGTGCCGACGGGCGGCCTACCCGCCAGGCGCCCCGGAGAGCTGAGCGGAGTCCCTAGTCCCTCCCCTCAGACAACGACGCGCGTTCTTCGCCCAGGCGACAAAAAGAAGAGCGAAAACGAGTAGCGATGGTAAGCAGGGGGGGGGGGGTGGAGGGGCGGTCGCTATTCTTGGAGGCGCTGCCTGGCCCCGCGGCGCATCGCCGGGCGTACGCGGCCAGGACGCACCGCAGTAGTTTCACTCTACGTGGTGTCCTGTGGTGCCACAGCCCGCCGACTAACAGAACAACTCCAACACCCACATTACATTTTAGCTCATCTTGCATTATTTTCCGGCGGTCAGAATCCCTGTCAGTTTTGTCTGCCCTGTTTCCTCGCGTGCGGTGAGGTCGGGTGAGGTCCACCACGGCCGCCACGCTCAGACCGGAAGCGGTCCCGGCCGTGTACAGAGTGACTTCCGGTCCGGTCGGGATGTGCCGCGTTATTGTGGCAGCCTCCCTGTCAAGTAGTGCCCCGGGCCGAGCCCCGGGCCGAGCCCCGCGGGCAGGTGACGAGGGAGTGGCCGCCGGTGGCCGTGGGGTGGCCGGCCCGAGCAGGCGAGGCTCGTCTAGCAGACTGCCCGCCCCGCCCGTAAAGCGGCGAAAGACGGAGCGCAGAGAGCGAGTGCTGCTTGGCATTGCAGCGGGGCGGTGGGCTCTCCTAGCTGAGAGTTGTTATGACGAGGAGAGCACAAGGGCGGGCAGGGCGGGGCGGGGGCGCACGGCAAGCCTCATCTTCCGCCGCGACCGCCGCGCTCCGCTCCTGCTCCGCCCTGCGCCTTCACTTTGCCTTAGCAGCAGCTATTCGAGCTACGTAAACTCCCGAGCAGGAGCCTCGCGCTTATTGCACAGCGGTGCGCGTGCTCAGTGTCGGCTGGGCGCCCGTGCCCGTGGGTAGGCCGGCCCGCAGCACTCGCGCGCCGTGCGCACTGCGTGGTTGCCTACCGCGCACGGCGCTCCCCGCTGCTGGCCCACCGCTCCTTAGGCCCGCCTGCCGAGCTGCTCCAGCACGTATAGCAGATGCAGGTCGACCCGGGCTGCAGAGGCGGGGGAGCAGTTCGCAGCGGATGGCGGCGGTCTGGCCCGCTTGCCGGCCGAGAGTATGATCGTCCTGACAGCGACGGCCATCCTTTAGCGGGCCAGTTAGCTACGATGATGGCGCGGGCTCGGGGGCGGGGGCCTTATGGAGCGCGTGCCCCCGCGCCGTATGCTCAGTGTGCAGTGGCGTGGACCAGGCTCCAGGTCCGCGACCAGATGAGGGACGGCAGGAAGTGGCGGGCCGACGTGCCGGGTTCGACCTTGCTGGGTGTACCCTGCCCACTCGTGGCTGTGCCAAAGGCCCAGTCCGCCCAGCCCAACCGTGTCCTCTGCTGTGGCAGGCGCGGCTGTAGAGTAACGGCGCAGCGCTTTACCTGGGTCGCAATTCCCCCCCCCCACCTATTTCTCCTCGGGACCAAATACACACCCAGCACTTGGTGCGTAGTGGGATAGGAACTACACCGTAAGTGTCGAAAAGGCACAATTTGGGTTATTACAATATTGTTTCGAGAGCTGTTTCACTCTGTGTACTTAGTTGTGTGCAACATTGACCGAGTGTTTTCTACGCTGTCCTTGATCAGGTCCTCCAGAGAGTACCCGTCGACGGCTGCCACACCGCCTTCGCCGGCGTCGCGGGGACACAACGGAACAGCCGCCCCACCCCGCCCGCCCGGTGAGTACGTTCGTCTAATTTACCGGACGGGCAGAAATGACTCTTTCATGATTTGGCTCGTCTTGATGTCGCTTGTTTCGCATCGTGCAGTCGGCCCCCGCCTCGCCGCCGGCCCGAGCACCAGCGGAGCTCCCACTCCCGCGCCCAGGCCGCCCGTCAAGCCGCGCAAGAAGAGGAAGGCCCCGCCGCCGCCGCCGCCACCCAAGGCCCAGCAGGTGAGCGACAAGCGCTGAGCGCCACCGCGGGCTGATCAATAAGGGCGGGCCACGGCGGCCCCACTCCTATCCTGGGGCTGGAAATGCAGCCGTCACGAACCCGGCGACATTCCCCTCTAATTCTTATCATCTTTTCAGAGACTGTCCAGTGCCGTGTCGCTGCCGCAGCTTAGCCAGAGCGAGGGGGAGGCCCTGGCCAACGCGCAGCCCGCCGTGACGCAATCCCAATCGCAGGTGTCCCTCGCGTGCCATCAGGACGACGCGCTCTCGAGGAGCGCCAGCCCGGAGGACCGCGTTGGCTCCAATCCGACCGGGCCGTCCGAGCCCCGCGAGGCCCCTTCCGTCGAGGAGCCTGACGAACCCCCACCTGCGTCCGGGTCTCCGGTTCCCATCCATGAGGCGGGACCGACGTCCACCGAGTCGTCGCTGCCAGAGACCGAGGTTCCGGAGCAAGACGCGGCGAGCGAGGAAAGGGGGCAGTCCACACCACCGTGCGAGGATGAGCGGAGCGGGAATGACTCCCCACCTGCACCTCCACGTCAACAAGACCCTCTGTCTGGAAGTCCAATCTCCCAGCGATCATTCAGGTCGTCGACACCAGAGGCGGTCATCATGGCGGTGGAGCAAGCACCCCGTGAGGGAGGGCACGAGGAGCACAGCCCGACCCCGAGCCCGCGGAGCAGCACGAGCAGGGCGTCCAGCTCACCCGAGCCGCCGCTGCCGCCGCCCCCCGCACTGTCCACCAGCCCGGGCTCAAGCCCTCAGGGCTCAAGCCCTCACTCTAGCCCCAGCCCTCTGCGAGCTGCCAGCCCCGAGCGCCTCGAGCAGAGCGCCACCAGCGAGGAGTGTCCGTCTCCCCCAACTCCAGCATCCCCCTGCTCGCCGACTCGTAGCAATGAAGCTAGTCCGACCGCACCCACACCTTCGCCGCCTCCACCGCCAGCCTCCCCTGAGTCTACCGCGCGACCCCATTGCCCGCTGGCCAAGCCCGAGGAGGACGCCGATGAAGAGGACGGGGACGCGGCTTGCAGGGAAGACCTCTCCAAGGTGATAGCTCCAGCAGCCTCTTTAATTACGTCACCACGCCCCCACCTGCAGGTGTAGGACCATTTAAGTCCTAAGTGGATCAGACGGAATTAAATCAAGTAATACAGTGAAAAGTCGTGGTGGCCATGGGCTAATGTCATGGTTTAAGTTGACGTGTAGTACATTGACAAAAACCATCTCATTGCAGTTGGGTTCATCATCAAATCTTATTTACTGTACTACTTAGGTATTAATTCCAAGTGCCTCTGTTTTTGTTGTTATATGTCCTTTGTATAATAGATGTTAGATCTGTGATATTTATAAGGTATTTAAATATTTTATTTGAATGGTTGTTTTCTTTGCAATTTAGTTAAACCCTCTGATGCTCCCTTATAAGTGTCTGTGAACACCTACATCAAATGTGATTGTAGAAGAATATGTAGCAAGACAACATACGGAAATTAGATGCAATTAAATACATGTTCATAGGTGTATATGCACCTCTAAAAATCTGGAGAATTCAGTGTATGGATTTCATGTTTCAAAAATTCCATCAGTGAATATAAATTATGATTATGATTGCTAGACTGATTCAGGAGCTACACAAATAACAGTGTTTCTAGAAATATGAGGAATACGTTTACATGCATTTATGATCACAATAAACACACAAGGAAAAGAATGTGGTTTTGTAATAAATTATTTGGAGTTCAGCCTTACTACAATGTTTATTGACATAGAAAAGGAGAAACAATTAAAACCGAAATAGACCGTGCTTTAACAATATCACAAGAAACTGACAGTACTTAATACTGGGCGAACTGGTCGGGACAATGCCAAATCAGCTGACTTTGTTTGAAGTCTTTCTTTCTCTACATTTTGATCTGTCAGATCTTTAGAAAGGGATGGTGATTTAACTAAGTATGGTTTTTTTGGACTCACACGCACCTGCTTAGTTGTCGATTTAGGATCATTTGCACTAAGTAACTTTGAAGACAAAACTAAAGGAGTTATTTCAGCTCCAGCCATGGTCTCCACCCTTGACCGTGACGCCCGCAGAGCTGGTGTGCACAGCACATTTTTCTGAAGCATGAAACTAGTAGGTGAATGGTCACTTTCTTCATTTTCCACAGGTAGTTCATCTTCTGAAGATTCTGAATCTTCTAGAGGTACACTGCAGGAAAAAAGTAGTTTTAGAATCTAAATTGAACCTTCAGGGAATAGTCAAACCGACTGCGAAATGGAATATTGATACAATATCGTTATGACATCGCATGTCAAAAATGTATCACAATCAGGTACAATTTTTTATTGTTTACGATACAATTTACGACATTTGATGTAGGAACATTATTGTTTTGAAATCACGCAGGGAAATTGTTGTTTAGCAAAGAAGCAATTGAAAGCAAGCAGTTTATAACAGAATAAGAGTAGGTTCAATATGTTTAACTTGAAACAAAAATTAATACCTTGCATTTGCATCTTCAGTATTGAGAGGAGTATATGCTGGCATTTCGGATCCATCGTACCCAAACTTTTCCAACATGCTTTCCATCTCTAACATGCCCTTTTCTATCACCTTGTTACTTTCCTTTGCCTTTTCTTCTTCCTGCTGGCCTGATGCAAGCATCTTTTGCAGTTCAATCAGCATCTGATTTGTTTTTTCCTAGGTTTGAACAAAAAATTATTGAAGTGAGTTAACACAAAAACTAGATGAAACAATTTGTCCTTAAAATAAATGCATACCTCAATCTCTTGGACTTCTTGTTGCACTGAGTTCATGGTTTCTAAAGCTTCGGGTTGGTTTTCTTCACTGGGCAACAAATTCACAATGGAACTAAGAGCTGCTTCAATTTCTTTTAAGCCATAATCAATGCCATGAGCGACAAGTGCTAAATCTTTAAGTTGACCGTTACCAATTGAGAACACTGTAAATCCAAGAGAGCAACAAGAACATTTCAACCTGATTAGGAAAAATGCAGACACAAAATTGACGAGTTATTGGTTGAGATTCAGACAATTCATTGAGGTAGGAAGTTACTCATCCAACCAAATAGATAAGTACATGAGATAGGTTGAAAAGACAAGGAAAACCCTTTACGGAAGAAATAAATAAAAGAAAGGCTGCCTAAAACTACCTCCAGAATCTGAATCCATGTTTTTTTCTCACGATGTTTCCCTTGGGAGTAAGGAGTAGGTGGTATAGTGGACAGGTACGAGATTTCCAAGCTTTGAACGATGCTTTACTTTGGCCTTTTCAAACAGTAACAGTAAACAGTAAGCAGACAGCAGACAGGTTAAGCCACCTAGAAAAAGTAAAAACCGAAACAGTAACGGAACTTTTGATCTCAAAAGTAGCGGAAAGGACGGTACAATATAAAAATTGAATATGAATAAATTCTGTTTCCTTCTAATTAGTGTAATCATGTCAGTAATCACAGATTATATTTAGTACAGTTTTGGAGTTTGTTGGTAGTCCTCCTTTGTTTTCGAATCGTAATTGTCTTGCAGACGACGGTGAAGGCGGGATGGCGCGTGGCGGGTATCTGCTCTCAAAAAAGAACCAAACCACTGCAAACTGACATGACAAAAGCATACAAAACTACAGTTTTAACGGCAAGATGTACAACATGCAAACGACCTCGCGGAAGATTATTCTCCCATTCGTCACTTCTGACCTATTTGGAGAAATTGAAAGATTGTACTCCGAGGAAGGCAAATGTGAGTTTAACCTATTTTATCATGCACCTTCAGATTTGTTGATATTATGCCCGAATGTGTTCATGTCACAGTCAGCGACGAGTCATTGCTAGCCTTGCATGCTGTGTTTGGAGCCCCCTTTGAACGAGCACTTGAGATGCTTGAAAAAGATTGTGTAACTCTTCTGACCACTGCTAATGATACTCGACAAGCACTTCAGGTGAATTTAAATGCAGATGCAATTTGTAATGTTGTACGACATCTATTATATTTTCCGTTATATGGTTAGGTTTCAGGGGGACGTGGCGAGCTATATACACTATTCCCAAATATCAATTTTTGCCCCTGTCTTGCATATGCCCATCAAGTTGTCACATCTCGGATTCATGTATCTTGTAAACATGTACTAGCAGCAAGACTCTCTCAAGTTATGGGTCGTACCACACGGAAAGAAGCAAGTCCTGAGGAAGTTGCTCGCATCTTATGTCTCTCAGCTCATGCAGACAAGAGCATTGAAGATTTTTGATATTAGTCAACTACATTTTTCTGTGACTTCAGGATGTCATTGTATGTTTTGAAGGGGAAAAGTAATGTGTTGTGTCAATGACACTTCTTGTATTTAGATATTTGATTATTTTTTCTTGAACTGAGAGAGTAATACATTTGGTAACCTAGACATAACAATAAGTTATAGCAAAGCCCACAAAACGACATTTTTAATATCCTGCAGATCACAATATTTGATGACTCTATAGGCTAGAAAACTGAACGAAGTCTTAAAATAAACTACAAAAGGCAAAACAAGTTGTTTTCCAATAATTTCTTCTTTTTTGTTTACTGAAAAAAAGAAGATTTTATCAGTTGTTTAATTTTTTCAACATACTTAGTTAAAATTTTTAAAATACTGAACCAATATTGATACTTGAGCCTTCAGCAGGTAAAACAAATTAATGCATTGCATTGCTTCCTACTTTGTTATTACAAAATATCATTAGCCACTCAAACTGGTTTTAAAAAATAACTTGTCATCACTGTTAATAAAACCTGATTTATGCTCAGCGCAACAAGATAAGGCACAATCATATCACACATATGAGAAGTGAGCGATTACTACAGTCTCTGCATGTTTTAACACATGCTTGGATTATCTACCATAAAATACATCATGTAATATAAATAAAACAATTTCGGGTTATTTTCACTTCTATAGAAGACAGCACGCGTATCTAATACATATCATTCCAATGGCTTGCTTTCGATAAATAATGCCACACCATGATGGGGAGCTGCTGAATCATCTAGTTTTTACCAACCTATTACATGTCTAAAAGGAACAGTGGAACACTTGTTACATGAAAACATGAGCTAATTGTAGACACAAAGTATGAGGCAGGCATGCAAGATTGCAGTAATTACAGTTGACAGATTGACTTCAAAGACAATAATAGTACACTTCTAAACAATTCAAAATATGGCTTTGTAGATTGAAATCCTACCTCTGGTGTACTTAAATATACACAGTCTGGTTAAACCTGACAGAACTCTTACAAATGATGAGACAAACTTGCATATAGAAGCTTCAGATATGGAATCACTAGTTCAACTATTTCGTGTAAGAGCATTTGCTTTTAGATCTAAAACTATAAAAATAATAAGAATTATTCAGATTGCAATTTTAAGAATGATATAATAGGGTGTTACTCAACAAAATTGAATATAGGTTTGTTCAATTGGTTCTTTGATATTAGAAAACAAAGTTTCTTCCACTGTTTTAAATATATAATTAATACACCCCAGATATTGAAGAAAGACAATGATCTGTCATTTAAAAACTTTACAAACCTAATAAAATCACTTCTAATTAAATAAATTTGGCACAGAGAAACATTTTTCCTAATTACTAGGTGATGAATATATACATAAATGACAGCTTATTGCTACTTGGACATGAAATGCACCTAAAATTGACAATGACAATGGCCTACTTACAAACTATTTACATAAATACAATTTTCCATTAATCAATAAAAAATTTCTAAAAGGATGGTATGATAAGGAAAAACATTACAGATGAGTTGATGGTAAAAATGATCCATAAGGTTTGTAATAGTTCACATTATAAACATATGTAGAAAGGTAAGGAAGTCTTTTACCTTAATTTTACAACTATATACCTATTTCTCTTTGACTGGAATCCAGTAAAGTAGCTAGCCTCCATCAGCAAACAGTCAGTCTTTTCAACTTACCTAGCATAGAACAAAGCTTGTAAAGGGAGAAAACTGGCAAAAGTCATAGCGCATGAATAAAACATAGGTATTGATCACAAATAGTAACTGAACCAGCAGTCACCAATGGAGTTACCAAAAGTACACAATGTACTGCTCAGCATCAAGACCAGATGTGAAATATAGGTAAATATCTAACTATGAAAAGCATAGAAAAGGGGAAAATATTTGAAGACTTAAAGGTAAGTTTAAAAAGTCAAGCCATAAAATATCAATTAATGCATTGATTTGGTAGCAATCGTGTGATTGAATAAAAGATCTTTTCACATGTTGACATTTTGTTGAAATTATTTAAGATGCAGAAATAAAAAAGCAGTCAGTCAAGCAGAAATTAGAACAATAGTGGAAAAAAACAATATAGGAGAGAGCTTAGTAAAATATGAAGCAAGGCAACTCAGTTTTTGGCATATTGAGCCACCCTTATAGCTCCTCGAAGAAAGCTACTCGGGCTTTGGTCGATCCCGACTTCACCTGTGAGATAATGATAACAATAATTATTCAAAAAGTGAGTCTTACTTAAAAATAAGACATGATAGTTGTGCGTTGGAATAATGCAGAAAAGTACCTTGCGTAGAGTGGAATATTTGTTTTCTCCAAGACGTAACTGTTCCTGATGGAGAGCATCCATCTGACTCTGCTTCTCTCCCACTTTGAGAACTTCTATCTCGCACCGAAGTTCCCGCAGCTGATTCTGCAAATGTTTGCTTTTCTCCAAATAATCCACCCTGTAAATTTAAAATTTACATTTTAACAACAAAAAAAAAACAACAACAAAAAACACAACAGCAACAAGTCCCACTAGTAAAAGATTAGGGTGAGTAATTAGTACTAATTAAAGAAAATGCAGGTAGTTTCTCAGTAAGGGAACCATTAAATCAAAATGTTTTTAATACTTTCATTTTTTGGCTATGGTTAGACATTTCCAAAGTTGCCATATGATGGATAGATTAGATTAGACACAACAAATATCTACCCCCAAAATTGAATATTTTTAAAATTTAAGAATTGTACTAGAGGGAGAACAGCTAAATTGAGCAGAAGGTGGTATACCGGTATGCAAAATAAGAGGATAGAAACTGCTTAAGGGACAAGAACAGTAAGAGCTATAAAACTGTCTGAAGGCTTTCATAACCTTTGTGACCAGCTATCATTATCCCTTTTAAAATGCTTTCAATGATGGTAAAATAATATTTAGTAGAAACTCCTAACAGACCAGAACATGCAGGTTACAGATTATAAAACTTGATTTCATCTTAGCCCACCTCTCCTTTTCAATCTCGAGTGAGAGTTGTTCCATATCTTGATCAGCTGCCAGGTCGTACGCTGGCAGCTCAGAAGGAATGTCTGAGCCAGGCAAACCAGGCATGTCTCCAGAAACACTACCACACATATCTCCTGGTTCTCCAAGCTGCAGAGCTTGAAGATCTGCTGCTAACTGAGGTGTTAGTCCTTGTGAAAGTCCTTGTGAAAGTCCTTGAGACAGTCCCTGAGACAACCCAGGGGAAAGTGCTGGGCAGAGTCCTGGAGAGAGGGCGGGTGACAAGCCAGGCGACAATCCAGGAGATAAACCCGGTGAGATTCCCGGGGATAGTCCAGGGCCGAGGCTCAGCCCACTCATTGGTTGGGAGAGTTGTGACAGCTGGGACAGCTGTGAGAGCTGGGACAGCGACTGCGACATCCCTCCACCAATGCCATTGCCAGTCTCATACTGCTGCTGGCAAGCAACCCCACCAAAACCATCAGGTAAGTTCAACTACACCTCATGCATAACTCAACCAGTTCAAGGTAGATCAAATTGATAAGAATGAAACAGATTTAAATTAGGAGAATAGGATAGAATGCCAATTTATCAAAAGGAAAGTTGTTCAATACTTACTAAAGGTGTGGGGGAATGAGTTGCATGGGGCACAGACTGAAGAGAGGTAGGACTTGCAGTGCGAGACAGAAACTGAAGAAGTTTTTCTTTAGCTTGCTTTTCTGCTATTCTTGCTTTTAACAATTCATCTTTTAATCGATCTGCTTCAGCAGCACGTCTTTCAGACTCATCTACCAATCTGGCAGTAAGCCGCTCAGCCTCTTGAGTTTTTCTCTCTAGATGAACCTTTTCTTCTTCTGTCTGGTGAGGATAATACAATACTTTCACAATGTTCAAGATAAAAATACAGACACATATCCTTTCAAAACATGGCAGCTTACCTTCATAGCAGTCAAACGTATTCTGTTGATTTCTTGCTCAGCCTTGGCTGCTTTCTGGCTTAGCAACATTGCTTCTTCTTCTGCTACTCGAGATTTCTCAGCCAGAAGGTCTGCTGTTTGTTCAGAACGGCGCTAAAAATAATTTTAAAAAAAAACAAACCAACAGGTACTTAACTAGTAATTCAAAAATATAGTAAAATAAATGTACTTGATTCAAAGATACAAACCAATGCCTCATTTGCAACTCTCATTTCTTCCTGATACTGCAATAGCTTTTGCTCCATTACAGCCTTTTCTCTTTCTGCAGCTTCCCTCAATTGCTTTTCTCGTGCTAGTTTGTTGCGCTCAACTTGTCTTCTGTACAAAGGAATTAAATATGATTAAAATGAATTTAACTCTCTCTCTCTGTTTTATAACAAATAATAAGAAATATATATATAAAACAACTTTTCTTCACTCAGGATGAGAAGACAGATGTTTGTTTTATAACCAAATCTAACATAAGAATAGAAAACTTAAAGTTTTAGTTACCTGGACTTCTCTTCCTTAGCTTGAGCTTTCATTTGTTGAACCTCCATTGTATCTGGTTTACGCCTCCTCATGAACAGATCATGATTTCCAATACACAGATCTAATATCTGCAAAATATAACAAAGGAAATATCACCAAAGTGCACAGGGCAAATAACCTTTGTTTGTTAGAATCTAAGCGTTTCAATTATTTTCTTTTAAAAGAGTGTGATTTAGAACATACCAGTTTGTTCATGCGTGCTTTTTGGGAGAAAAATATGAAGTTTGGGGAAGACTTGTCAACTGGTTTGATTACAAATTTTTTGTCATCAAAAGAGATATGTCTTATTTCAGACCATGTAAAGGTAGTCTTTGGAGTCAATTTGTTCTCTTTTTCATAGATATTTAATCCAAGTGCAGTCACACCAAGCCATAGCTCAGTGTCTTTTTTATTCTGGAAAGAAAATTGATAGAAGGAGATAAATTTTAGGATTAAATTGTAAGTAGGAGCCAAATTATCAATGCATGCTTTTTCAACTTACAGTTATAGGGAAATAATTCACACCATACATATCTAGATCCTGAGCAATTTTAAGGTACTCCATTTCAGCTTCATCGCGAGACATGCCTCTGTGGTCTGCATACCAGACCTTGATTCTCTCTTCCCACATCTCCTGTGTCATCTGATATTGATCAATGACTCTTTGTGGAAGCAAGTTGTCTTTAGATAAAGTACCAGGTTTATAAGTAAGCTCATCATGATCACCATACTAAAAAGAAAAGAACAGGTTTACTTAATAAAAAAAACAAGCAATTTTTTTAAATTATAAATTTACTTCAGAAAAGGATTTTAAAATGTCTACCTTGGCTTGTACAGCATAAGAGGCTAAGAGGACAGAGGCTTCTGGAGGACAATATATGTCCATTGAAAGGATTGCTTGCTTGACTTGGAGAAAGAAAAGATGCTGAGTGACCTCCTGGACCAACTCTTCAGCCACATCTTCTGGGTAAAGTTTTCCTAGGAACATAAATGGTGTTGCTGGCTGGTTGTTGGGATTTATTCCTTGATCTTGAACTGAAATTTGGCATATAATAGGGAAAAAAAGACATTAATATCAAAGATGTGAGTGTTGAGTGAGTAGAGCTTCATAAAATGGGCAGTACAAATAAGTCAAATGAGTACTAATCAAAAACAAGAAAAAACATGAAAAGTACATTTTAAACTTCTAGTACTAAAAGATTAAAATTGTATGACAGATTGTTGAAACGGCTTGAATGAAGTTGAAATAAATAGATGGATAGCACTTCTCTCTGTTCAATAATATTCACCTTTCTTATCCAGTTTCAGCCAGCTGATGAATCCCTTGGAATCCATGTACTGAAGACCAAAATACCAGGTCTCCCTCAACCCAATAGTACGGCAAACTAAATCGAATAAATCTCTTCCTGTAGCATGCCACTAAAAAAGCCAAAGATAAGGTTGGGAATAAATGAGTTGAAGTGCACTGGTCACGTGCAATTTGAAGACTATACCGTGCAAACTTGCAACATGGTTTAGGTACATTACTTAAGTCAGGGAAAATAGTAACTCAAAAAAAAAAAATTGGCAGTTAACTAGAAGAGTGAAAATAGGGAACAATCAGCACTGACATTCGGTCGAAGTAGCATTAAAACTAAAATTATGTATAGTAAGCGAAGTGATCCATATATGTAGAAAACCAGTTCCATACACAAACTAAAAACTCGTACATTACTATAGAAAGTTTCAAACGCTACGAAATCAGAGATCAAACAGGTATGACTCTAGCTCAACAAAACTGATAACTACAAGATCTCAAACCATAAGAATAGGCACTAACTAACCTCCAAATCAAATTCCAATTCTGCATCAAGTGTACAAACTTTGACCGGGAAAGATTTTTGAGACTTCTTACGCCTGAATGGTGGCATTCTGTACTTCATTTTTACCGACACACAACGGGTAAATCCATCTTAGTCGCTATCAAACTCTCACATGACGAAATGCGACGATCTTAGGTTGATAATACAACATATCACAGAATGAATCAAAGCAAGTTTTTTATCTTGATTACCGAAACGACGTTCGCTTGTTTGTTTACGGGTAGGTTCGTGCATCAGGTCAGAGTGGTCAAAGTGACGTATTGAAGGATTGATCCGTTATTGATTGTCGAAAGGATGGAGTAGCGGTGAAGAAAGAACTAGAAGCCAGTAAACATCGCAAAAGCAGATTGAAACAATTTGTTTGCCGTCCAATTTCTTTGAATTTTAAAATTATTACAAGATTTATGGACGCCGGTCACTGCTGGTCTTCGTGATAATTCCGGTGACTCGCGAAGGCACCTTCGCGCACCTTTGCGGACTTCTTCTTCAGTTAATTGTCAAAGATGGCGGCAACCAAAAGGTTACAGAAGGTAAGTTGCTCTTTTAAGCTGAAATTCAAGTTTTCTGTAATCCAATGGAGGCACCAGTTTTACTCGCATAGTACACATTGTTCGTCTATTGCCATATTAAACCCGGCATTTTCTCTATTATGGACTGTCAGCGGTGGTGTACAATGCCGCTGGACACCCACATTCCTCCCTATCATGGCTGAGCAATATCTAAGCCTAATCCTCCAAGGTCTGATGCATTCAATTATGTTGTTGGGTTTTTTGAATTTATTTCTGCGCCAGCTGTATGATGTAATTTCAGGGTCAAGATATCAAGTCTGAATCTTTAATTTGCCTGTTGCCATTTTTCCTTTTCTTGTACGTTCCCATATAAACATTTATTTCTCTTATATACAACTCACAGTATGTCAATTTTATTCTATGGTCATTCGAATTTCATCTTCTTTTTGTATTGTATGTCCTGTGGAAACTGCTATCTCCTATACTTTCCTTTTTAGTATGTTTGAGAGATAAATGAGCATTGAGTCATGACCAAAATACCGAGAAAGAAGCAAAATTCCCTACTGTAATCGATAAATTCTTTTCCTAAATGTTCGTTCTTGAAATGTTTCAGGAACTCGGAGACATTCGAGCCTCTGGTCTCAAGGCTTTTAGAGATGTCCAAGTTGATGAATCAAATTTGCTTCTGTGGCATGGAGTTATTGTTCCAGTGAGTGTTGATTCATGGAGATAATTTACAAATTTACCTGAACTATTTTGATAAATATCAATCACTTTTTAAATTCCTTTGATTTTGCAGGATAATCCACCATACAATAAAGGAGCATTCAGGATTGAAATAAATTTCCCTGCTGAATATCCATTTAAGCCCCCAAAGATTCATTTCCGGACTAAAATCTATCATCCTAACATTGATGAAAAAGGACAAGTATGTTTGCCTATCATAAGTGCTGAAAATTGGAAACCTGCTACAAAAACTGATCAAGGTAATGTAGTTTATCGATATGTTGTTTTCATTGTGTTTCGTATGTTCAATTGTCTCAAAGGGAATCGTTTTCAGTTATTCAAGCCCTTGTGGCCCTTGTAAATGATCCGGAGCCTGAACATCCACTACGAGCAGATTTGGCTGAAGAGTACATTAAAGACCGCAAAAAATTTGTGAAAAATGCAGAAGAATTCACCAAGAAACACAGTGAAAGGCGACCTCCAGAATAAAATTTCTCTGTTTGTGCTGGCACTGTGATATTGTCAACAATGTTGCATCTTCCTTTTACTTTTTAAAAATTTTTAATTGGTTGTCTTGTTAAAATAATGCAAGATTATGTGTACCCCAAGTCAAACAAGAGGGATCAGTGAATGGTGAAATGCGACCTTTGTAATGTCTATTTCTGTACTTCAATTTCTGTTTTCATATTGGTCAATAACACCTAAATCACAAGTTTTGGTTACTTCTTATTTCATGTCATTATCTTTAGTCTGCACATGGTTGTGGATGCATAATTCTACATTAGTGTGCTGTATTTCTCTTCGGTTTCAGTCCCGAATGTTTTTAAGACTGGTATAGCCATGCGGAGGCAGGCAGATGATTAGATCACTTAAGTGTGCTACTGCTAGTGGTTTTACACACCTAGACGTTCCACTCAATCTAAATGATGAGACTGTTAATTACTGTGCTTAACTAATCTTCACATTTGGCCTTGAAATCATAGACTACACCTGAGAAATAAATTGAAAATTCATTCACTCTCTTGTTCTTTTCTGTGAAGCCTGGCATGTGATTAAAATAGGAAAGGTCAGTAAAATTTGTGGTCAGAAAACTAAATTGAAATGCCATGCAAGCTAAGTATTAATTATTTTTCATATATAGTTTTTGAGGGATAACGTTATATTTGTAACTTAAAGATAAGTGAACTGCTCAACACACACGAACAGTTCTCAACTTTATTTTGTTTTGTTAATCATCTACTGGCTAAGTTTAGTTTTTTGTTTCTTTTTTTAAAATTTAGTCTCATTGCATTGTGTACTGTGAATCACCTCTTGCAAAGACGCATATCTGAATTACTCATGTGGTGAAATCATTCTAATATTGTCAAATTGCCTGGCTTTGCTCTGTGCATTTTTTTTCTGTGTGATTGTGTGGTAGAGGACTGTAATTATTATCTTAAGCACATAAATTGGTTTTCATCATTTGTAGTTTCTTATTGCATTTATTATTGATACTGAAATAGTACCCTTCATAACATCAAACAAAGATGAAAACCTTCGCTTAAGAAAGGACCGCCTGGAAAAGAAGCAAGGGGCCGGTCTAGTGTGTTGTTTGTGTTTGTGGGACGGGGTTGATCGGCCGCCTTTTCTCAACACCTTCGACCTTCTTCCTTGAGAAAGGCTTCGTTTCGTTGAGAAAAGGATTCTTCGAACATCGCGGGGCGCACGCGCGGGCCGCGGGGCCGGGGTTTACAACAAAGCATGTTAGCCACCCATTTACCATAAATCCGAAAAATTGTTTAAATTAAACTATACGGGATTTGGTAGAGGTACGGAATCTTTTGGAGGAATGGTAACTAAAATAAATATTACGGCAGTCATTTCGTGAAAATCGCTATAGTATTTTACGTTGAGGTCGAATAAACAGCAGTTCGATATTAAACAGTTGGCAAGCATCGCGAGGGAGAAGCAAGCAAACAAAAACAACTGATGATACACAAAAAAGAGCTAAACAGCACAAGAAGGCAGTGACTTGTCGGATACGCACACGCACATGCTGCTGCAGCGTGCATCACCGGATTACTGAAACCACGTGTGTGATCACAAACAATCTCAAAATGGATATTCTTGGTTAGTATGCGTTAATTATGAACGAGTTTTCTCAACGAGGCGTGCTTTGTATACATTTTGGAGTTTGCGTACCTTGTGCCCCCTGCTTTTGCCAGTTTCTGTCCATTAAAGAATCAAAACACCTTGCCGGTGCCAGACCAATCTCTCGTGGGCAACGTACAAATTTGCCTTCAATCGTAGTTTCCCTTTGTTTTTCACTGTTTTTGTTTGCCTCTATCAATTCAGATGGATGGCAAATCTTGAGCCTTTTTTATTGGAATTATAATAATTCAAATAATACCAAGCCAGAAGCCCACTACTTCTGTTTCTCCATGTGTATGGATGCTATGCCAGCCATACTCTTCTTGTCCTTGTTCCCAAAAGTTGCTCTCACTTTTCTCCTTATTCCAATTTCGTTGTATTCTGCAGTATTATAATTGGGTGACATGATTTACAGGGAGTTCAGAGAAAAAGAAAAAGAAGGACAAGAAGACTTTAGGTGATATTCAGGCTGGACAGGAGTTTCAGGTGGAACCATCAGACAAAAAAGAAAAGCTTGATACGTCACAATGGCCTCTGCTCTTAAAGGTTTGTTAAAATTGTTTTCATTTTGCTTTCTGTGTGAGTTGTTGACTGTTGAAGAGGTAATTTAACTTTGTGCGACTTTTTACCTCAAGAATTTCGACCGGCTGAACTGTCGCACAATGCATTATACTCCCCTGCCTTTTGGATCTTCACCTTTGCAAAGATCTATCAAGGACTATGTAAGCTCTGGTGTACTCAACTTAGACAAGCCCTCAAATCCCAGTTCACATGAAGTTGTGGCATGGATCAAAAGAATATTGAAAGTTGAGAAGACAGGTCATGCTGGAACGCTTGATCCCAAGACATCTGGTCAGCCTAACTAATTTTTCCTATAATATTGATTTTGGGACTAATGTTGTGAGGACTAGATTTTCATAGGCTTTTGTTATTGTTTCAGGTTGTCTCATTATATGCATTGACAGAGCAACTCGTCTGGTCAAATCACAGCAAAGTGCTGGCAAAGAGTATATATCTGTATTCAAATTGCACTCTGCTCCTGAAAGTGAAGCAAAGGTAACTTTATTGTTATATATCATATTATAATAAGTTATTCTGAAGTTGTGTGTAACTATTAATGTATCTTTTGTATCAGGTAGCCCAAGCTCTTCACAAGTTAAGAGGGGCTCTATTTCAGCGACCACCTTTGATCTCTGCTGTAAAAAGGCAACTTAGAGTTAGAACAACATATGACAACAAATTGATTGAGTATGATCCAGAAAGAAACATGGGTGAGCCTATTCTTCATTTTCCCCCCATAAAATTCAAAGTTTCTTTATTCCCATGTTATTCATTCATTGTTCTTTTGTACAGGTATATTTTGGGTCAAGTGTGAGGCAGGAACATATGTCCGAACGATTTGTGTTCATCTTGGACTGATGTTAGGAGTTGGTGGTCAAATGCTGGAACTCCGCCGAAACCGCTCTGGTTAGTAGGATTTTGTTTTTTATTGGTCTTTATTATTTCGCATTAGGTTTAGGTGTAAAGTAACATTTTAATTTTTCAGGCTTGCATAGTGAAAAGGATGGTCTTACAACCTTGCATGATATTATGGATGCCCAGTATTTGTATGAAAATCACAAGGATGAAACATACTTACGCCGTATTATTCTTCCCTTGGAGTCCTTACTCCGAGGTCACAAAAGAATAATCATGAAAGACAGCTCGGTAAAGATTTGACATTTCACATAGGTAATTACATTGCCGGTTTAAAAGCACTTTCTGGCATTATTTAATCAAATTTTTCAGGTCAATGCTGTTTGTTACGGTGCCAAAATTATGCTTCCTGGAATATTGCGATATGAAGATGGTATCGAGTTGAACCAGGAAGTAGTTATAGTTACCACTAAAGGAGAGGCCATAGCTCTAGGTTGGTTTAAACTAATTTTTTTTCACTTATTGACATTTGGTTACTTTTATATTTATCAGTGCATATGAATATGCATTGCTCAGAGGCGATATTAGATAGTTAAACTGCGTTGTTCATTCTTGCAGCCATTGCCCTCATGACAACTGCTACCATAGCAAGTTGTGATCATGGTATTGTGGCTAAAATTAAGCGAGTCATTATGGAACGCGACACATATCCAAGAAAGTGGGGCTTGGGTCCTAAGGTAAAGACTTAAACTTTACTTAGCAGGGTTTCACCTGTGAGTGATACTATTATTGTATTTTCAATCTCATTCTTTTGCAGGCTTCAATCAAAAAGAATATGATCAAGCAGGGCCTGCTGGATAAGTTTGGCAAACCAAATGAAAATACCCCAGCTGACTGGACCACTAGCTACAAGGATTACTCGTAAGTATTATGGTGAGGTGTTATTAAATATTTTATTTTTTCAAATTTTTCATCTAATTCAACCTATTGTGATATTAGGGAAGTCAAGGTGAAAGAAGAGCCAGATGTAATGGGTGAGGACAACGGGGAAGCCCCATCAAGAAAGGTATGCACTTAGTTTTGTGCTTTCCTTAAAAGTATGCAGCACACATGTTTTAAAATCTAACCTGTTCCTGTTATTTTATCAAAGCGCAAGCTCAGTGAAAGAAGTGCATCTCCAACCGAGGCTGAAACTTCAACTGCTGATATTTCCATTAAAAAAGAGAAAAAGAAGAAGAAAAAGAAGAAGCATGATGAAGAGGAAGGTGGTGAGGAGGTTGCAACAGGAAGCACAGAGGAGGAAGTAAGTTCAAATTCCTGAATTTTCAATTGTTTCATTTAGTCTATTATTATGTCTCTTAACAGTATTTTGCTTTTACAGGTCCCTAAGAAAGAGAAGAAAAAGAAGAAGAAGAAGGACAAAGAAAAGGCCAAGGAATCCGACAGCGATTAAAAGAATCAGCAAATGTTTTATGTTTTCTTTATTTTTTATTTTTTTGAATTGTCCCTGTTTTGGTGCCGAACTGTGCTGCAATTATGTTTGTATGGTACTTTGTTTATCACATGCTAAGTAAGCCACAGAAGCAGCATCTGTGTATATAACAGTTAAAGGAATTTATATTTTCTTTTCAACTTGCATAAACTGCCAGAGTACAATTTATTTTCTTTTATTTGTTACTTTTAGAAATCTATATTGTTTTGATTTCGAGCATGGACTTGTAGACCTTTATTGCCTATTCTGTTAAAATCCACAATCAGTATCATGAAAACTTCCACGTTTGACGAGACTTGTTTAGTGTTATGAAATCGTGCTTCACCTGTGTTGCTGTAAAACAGCAGTGGTGGTAGATGTTAAGAATCAAAGGTGTCTAATCCGTTGATTTTGTACTTTTGCTACTGTGACAGCAACTGTTCAGTAATAAAGTCTCCCTGCAGCTAGGGTGCTTATTTTTTAATAAAAATAAAACTAAACCTGATCTATTTCTGTGAGAACATCATTGCCCTCAGATATCCCAACTTTACCTGAAAGAAATAAAGAGTTGGAACATCACAAAACGGCATTTGTTTGGACCAGATTGTCTGCTCTCAACTTCCTCCTACTTTTCGTAAGAGTGATGTGCCATATTGGCTTGTTCTAAATGTTCTTAACATGAACGTTGAACAATGTCCTTTCTTTTACATTCGGTTCTGCAATGTGAAGTGCTATCTTGAGTAAAGGTGCTATCTGCCTAGCTGGCTTAGCTTAGTCAAATTAATCTTGAGAAAGGGTACATCAAGGATAAATCAAGGGTAAACTCCTATCCTATGCTGCCTGACCCTTCTTGTCTTTTCTCAAGTCCTGTGTGATGATTTGACTTTGCCGCCGCTGTCGATCTTTCTTTTTTCGCTCCTATTACGACCCGTAAACGTCTCATCTTCAATGCAACGCAAACGTCCTAGCCTCGCAACCCCGGCCTTTGTTTCCGGAAACACAAACAAACCCAACTCCCGAGTATGTTTTGGTCAGAAACGATATGATTGTGTGATTATGTTACCAGTTTTTAAAGTCTGTTGACCACGTCATCTCAGTTATACTGTGACTATCGTCATGATTCTCACACATGATCAGTTAGGAATCGGATTAAAGAAATGCCTTTTGTTTGGTAACCGTTTGAGGGCTCACAACAACTGTCACAAGCTGCGCCTAACCTATTTGTTCTGCTGGTAACATGACACGATTGACATCTTTAGTGGTATTTTTCGCTGGAATAGCATGTGCTATCTTCATCCCCTTTTTCTCGCACTATTTGGGGTTCCATTCTGAAAGCATTTGGAAGACTAAATTCAAACAAAAAGCTTTTACAGCTATTCCTGATGAAGACCAGATTCGAGTGTCTGAAGATATCCATCTGGAAGTTGCTCTGAGAGCTGCAAGTGATGTTAATGTTGCTGATATCAATCGAAATTCTGGTGAGACTTTAGTTATGGTTGTCCCACTATTATTACACTGTTCGGAAAAGGTCACATGAAGGGCCCGAACCCCTTCTAAGCCTTTTAAGCCAAGAGTGATTTCTCCAGTGTGTCGACACTTTTTGACACTCGAGGAGTGGAGCGGAGTAGCGTGAGCGGCCAATTTGGCCAATCACAGCTCACTCGACACTACTCTGCTCCACTCCTTGACACAACTTGTGTTGAGAAGTCTCCACACATTGGAGAATTCAGACACACTCCAAAATCTGAACAGTGAAGTAATAGTGGGACAACTGCATCTGTTAGTTCTGTTATTGCTCAGTTCTGTTTCTTAACAACTTGTGTCTTGATCTGTAGCTGCTGAGGCAGAAGCAGAAGGCTCACTGCATGCTGCACTTGAAATGAAGCGTCAGGGGAAGCTAGAAAAAGCTTTAAAACTTTTTGAGCATGCATACATACTTGCTCCTTTACATACTGATATCCTCAACCATTATGGAGAATTTCTAGAAGACACTCAAAAGGATATAATTATGGCTGATCAGTTATACTTCCAGGTAAGTCTTCATAAGGATCAAGTCTTGGTGAAGATTTTTCTGCCTTTATTCTAACTCTATACTGATCAAAAGAGTTTGTGTTTGTTGAATTTTTAGGCACTTACATATTCACCTGGTAATACCAGAGCTCTTGTTAATAGACAACGCACAGCTCATGTTGTTGAGCGAATGGACCTTGCAGTACTGCAGCGTATTGATAGAAAGAGGGACGAGGTATCAGCCATACCTGATCATGCACCAGGATTAAGAAGAGCAAAGAAAGAAGCTTACTTCCAAGTAACTAACTAACTGCCTGCTTTTCTACTAGAAAGTAGTCTGTTAAAAGATTTATTCTAATCATTTTTAAAAAAATTCTAGCATATATATCATACAGTTGGTATTGAAGGGAATACAATGACACTTTCTCAAACAAGATCAATTCTGGAGACTAGAATGGCAGTTGGTGGGAAAAGTTTAATAGAGCATAACGAGATTTTAGGTTTGGATGCAGCAATGAAATTTATTAACTCTTCCCTTATTAATCGGTAAGAAGATATATCAAATTTTCTATCTAAAATATTAGTGAGACCATTTTTTAAATTTCAGTTTTCATTAATCATATTTTCCAAATATCTTTTTCAGTCTTGGAATGATTACTGTTGAAGATATACTAGAAATTCATCGGAGGGTCCTGGGCTATGTGGATCCTATTGAAGGAGGTTCTTTCAGACGTACCCAAGTGTATGTTGGTGGTCATATTCCTCCACACCCTTCAAACATTTATTCTCTAATGGGGGAATTCATTTTGTGGCTTAACTCAGAGCAAGCAGCTAGAATGCATCCTGTCCGGTATGCAGCTCTTGCCCATTACAAATTAGTCGCAATTCACCCATTCAGGTATACGAAATATTTTGTGTTTTTATTCTTTTAAAATTTGTGTGTTTTCTTAATTTGGTATTTCATACATGTTATCAATTTCATTCGCAGTGATGGCAATGGTAGAACTTCTCGACTTCTTATGAATGCCATTCTTATGCAAGCAGGTTTTCCTCCTGTGATTATTCTGAAACAAGTAAGTCTCCCAACGTCTTCAAACTGTTAAAAATTGCAGTATTTTCATGTTTTCCTTCATTAACATTACAGGATCGCAGCCACTACTACAAACATCTTGAAATGGCAAATAGAGGAGATGTCCGACCTTTTGTACGTTTCATTGCCGAATGCACTGAACGAACTTTAGATCTCTTTCTTTGGGCCACCTCTGAATATGCTCAAGAATTTCCTGCTCTAGAGACTATTAAAGACTCCAGTCGGACTATTTTTGTGGATGAGAGTAGTTTGAAAGTTGATTCATCCATTTATGCTGATGTAGAAGCATCTACTTGTGATGCTTCTGACTGTGATAACTTTGATTAAATTTTTTCAGATGTAGTTTTTGTTGAGTTAAAAGGTGGGTTCACAATCAACTACCTTATGCTAAACGTGTTTTTCTTAAGCAAAGTCCACTTAAAAGTACATCTTATTGTTGGTACTTTTGCATACCCTAAGCAAAATCATGCCGAACTGAGGCAGTGATTTCTCATAGCTCCAGGGTTGTTGTGAACGCTCCATGCGGATGATATAGTACTCTTAGCTGAAGAAGAACATATTTAGTCTAAGAGAGCTGATTGTGAACCCACAATCTTTAATCGTTGTGTTTTTATTTATTTATCTTGAGATTCTGTGATCTTCTTTTACCTTGTGTCACTGTTTTCATCAGAGCATAGTCATTGCCAAGTGCCCTCTATTTTCAGTATACTTTTTTGTGTTCTTTGTACCTTTAGTAATAATGAGGTATGTTCAAATTTTACTCACCATTTTCAGTGATTACAAAGCAGTATTACATTTATTAATTCAGATTACCCTGTAGCCTACAAACCTGTTACTCATGTATATTCAGTGCTTTGTTTATTAATACATTTGTGTGTGAGATTGCCACATCACAATTGTTTAAGGGTCTCATTGCAGAACACGGATTTATGGATTGTGATTTTCCTGAAGGCTTTAGGCTTGAGGCTCAAGCTAATAGAAATTTATGGGTTTTACTCTTGTCTCTTGCCATAGACAATTTCTGAAGAGAAAATATATGAAGACTTAAACTGTTTCTCACTCCTGAAGACTTAACTGTGAGAGGAGTTCTAGACACTGGGCAATCGGACAAGAACTCCTCTCTTGAACTCTCGTTTTCACCTCATGTCGTATGTACCTTTCAATCGGAAATGGTCAGGGTGGAACTTCAGAGGTATTTTTCCTCAAATTGCAATGGAGTTTGGTGAATTTTAATGATGAATTTCTATGATTTCTGACAGAAGTTCATGAAGTTGAACTTTAAAGTAAGTTGATCAATATTGGGCCTATTTCCCCTTGCACTCCTTCAGCAGAGTATTTCATTTATGTTTTGTTTGTGACCTAGTCTTGTTTCAAGTTCCTAGAACTGAGCTGGTCTTGGTTTCTGCTGTTTTGTTTATTCATTAATTAGTCTATAATTTATTTGATTTTATTATTGAAAACTTCCAATGTGTCTCACCATTTTGTTATTATTGTCTTCCGAAATATATACTCAAATAGCAACTGGAAATTTTTTTGAAAATTACTTTATTTAATAAATTTGGTTTTCAGGAGAAAATAAACCGTTGTTGTTTTGGGTGTGAACTGCTTGTTCCTCGTGCCAAAACGCGCCTCCACCCTTCTCCCTCTTTCTCACTATCCAGTCCACCCTCATCTTCGTGTTTCTACGAGTTTCTATGAGTTATTAGGCTGTATCACCTTAACAGAAATAACAGATGATAAATAACAGATAATAGATCTATCTTGCACAGGGTTATTCACAATGAACATATTTAACAATAAATGCTACTTTATAGAGGAATAAACCATGACCAAACAGCATTAATAACCTTCCTGAAATGGATCTGTTAAAGGTATACCAGAGATAACTACCTGAGGTGATACAGACTTAGTGTGTGCTCCAATGATGATTCCATGTCAAAATAATAATACTGACTATGAGCCAGGATAAAGGATAAAATATGGACCCTAATAACAAGGTTCGAATATCCCGCACAAACTTTGAAAACTTTGCTGTAAATCTGCATGATACAGAGGGCGGTAGGAAAAAGGCGGCAACAAGCTACCCGCGCAACAACTGAACGTGGTGTGGTAAACGAAGAAGAAAAGAAGGGTTGAAGTGAAGAGAAGGAATTCAGACAAGAAGTGGAAGTTGGCCTGTTTTTGTGCGCAATTTGTGAGTTAATTTGAAGACGATTTATCCAACTAATATGATTGTTGTGATACGGGTTTGTCATTTACCTTAAAGGGTGTAGAAGGTCTCTATAGCCTATGATGCTACTCCGCTCATTTATCGATGTGTTGTCCCCGGGCGTTTCTAGTGGTTGCCTTTCATACGTAAATATCAATTTATAGTAATTTATCGTGCAATTGGTTTTTCTTAGTTTATTTTTCGTGTACTCTTATGATAAAGGTGACACTCTTGAACATCATGACGTCTTTCCAAGGTCTTTGGTTATGTGTGTCTTTGTCATGAAGGGCCCTTGGTTAAAAAGACAGAGCGCGCGCACCGCGCGTGTCCTTGTTTGTGTACTTTGTACGTGGTGAAGGGTTATGGGAGTTGTGATTTTGTATTTCAAGTTAAACTAGACCAACAATTATTTTATGCATGATGGTAACTATTTCCTCACAGGTAGAACATAGTATTTAAGATGAAGGAAAAAGATGGAAGCAATACGGAGGATATCTTGGCGCAACTCAGCAACACAAGAACTTCTGAAACGGTTTTAAAATCACTTTACCCAAAGCTTAGTGGGTATGTTATATTTTAATGCTAACTCTTCCTTTGTGAAGTAATTTTTTTTTCCTATGAGTAACCTACGTTGTCTTTTTTTCTTTAGTGTCACCCTTTCCAATGTGCAACGGATCCGATTATTGAAGCTTGTGATACTTCATGTTTCAAAAGATGGCTGCTCTATAGACTTACAGTCAATTGCTCTTGAATCAGGACTCTCCATTGTTAAAGCAGATTCATCTACAAATCCTGCGAGTGGTGCTATCTTTAACTTCTTTGAAGTTTGCTGCAAGTTAGTGAAGGATTATGTCATCAAACCCAGTGACCAAGCAATTGATGCAGTTGCCCTAGCTTTAAAAGTTCTCTCATGTATGAATGCAATGACAGCAAGTAAAATGTTCTCCAACAAGGGAGATGACATATTTCTTAGCAACCTTATTTTATGCTTAAAGAAAGACAAGTTAAAGCTGCCCACATTATCTCTGCTAGCAGTTTGTTTGTCTGAACCAACTTCCAAGACTTTTGTAAAGGATGAAATATCATTTGTTCAAGCAATTTATCCATTACTTTTTAATCTAGAAGATTCCAACATTAGAAGTACTGCTCTGTCAGTTATGCTCAAAACAACAATAAAATCAAAGGTTCAGCCATTCTGGAATCAGTTAAAAGAAGACACTCAACGTGAGTACTGTAAACATATGGTTGAAATGGTAAACCAAAAGTTAAATTGGCCTGAAGTTTGGCAGTTTGTTGTGAAGATGTTTGGAGAAGAACTTCATTCTGGAGGACAATTAATAAACCATATGTTGGAGGTACTGGAACGCGCTTTTAAGCACTCAGACTTTGAGTGGACCCGTGTACAAGCCTTTGTGTGCTGGAATACTCTTATTGATAACTTTAAAAGTGGTCTCAAGAACAAAAAGCGAATTGATCTAATCATGATACCTCTCAAAGCTAATAACCATAGGATTGAAATTTTAGCATCAGCTAAATTGAACACCTACAATCATCTCTTTACTTCCCTTGGAAAAGATTTAATCACCTATCCTGATGTGCTGTCAAGCTTCTTTGCATTCTGTTTTGGATCTGAAAAAGTAACATGTCCTCCAGTAAAGTGAGTCTCTTTTTCTGATTTTATGTTGTCATGCTTTATTGTGAATTTACTTAGTTTTACATTGTTATGTGTTAATGTGTTTCTGTCTTAGGTCCTATACTTCTTTGCATGAGGATTGTGTTAATTCCATCAGCAAAGTTTTTTCATCCCCTTTTATCAAAGAAGTGTTCAACAAGATCCACAAGGAACTGATACAGGCTGTTGGAGACTGTTTCATGTTAGAAAATGTAAAATCAGAACTGTTAACAACTCTCTGGGACAGCCTCATGAGTCAGTATAGCTTTTTTAATCTAATCTAATTTTTGTGTTCAATACCTGAATCCCAAAATGTATCTAAATCTGCTTATTAACAGGTCTTGTGCAGCAGCAAGAAGGAACGGATGTTGTCAAGGAACTTTTTAATGTCGTGAATAGTCTAGTAAATAAAGCAGCTACTGGAGAAACAAGTGCCAACTTCAAAATGAGACGCAGTATTAGCCCACCGGGTAGCCCACTGGGCCCACGTCCTGTCAACAAAGATTTGGGCAGAAGAATTGTATTGATAATATTACATAGCATCGTTCACGGCAAATCTGCACTGCCGACAAATATGTTTAGAAACAGTACCCTGTACATTGGATCTTTTGATGTCATGAACGGAACCCCTCCTCTGCTTTTTATTGAGTGGCTTTTTTCCCCAGCTTTGAAGTTGGGGGCTGCCAACACTAAAGTGTACAAGCAATTATTATCAAAGATAATATCACTTAAGCGAGATGAATCCGCCCAATTCATGGAATTTACCCAGCAAGTTTTGAAGAAGCTGCTTGTAATTGATGAAAGTTTCCCTTCAGATATCAAGATTTTATTTTACAAGTATGCTGCTGACAATTGGTGTACACTAGTTGATGAAATAGTGTTGTATATTCAAAACCAAGGGAGCATTAATCAAGGAGATGCTGCTGAACATGATTTTCGAGCCTTATATTCTGTACTTATGTTTCCTGTTCAATATCTTTCCGTAGATTTTGAGCTTGTTAAAGTTTGCAGTCTACCTTGGAAAAATCTCTTTTATGAATCCTGTCAACAAGCTGCCCTTCTTGCAACGGCTTCAATTCAACATCTTTGTGAAGAAATTTGTATTCGTTTAGTTGTTTTCAGCAAACGAAATACGTCTCCCTTGCAACACGCTTCTATTTTCTTCTTCTTTACTAACATTTTGAATGTTGTTCACGGTAGATTTAGTTCTGTCAAGAGAGCAAAATGGGTTCAAGAACATATTTCAGGTGTTGTGAAGGAACTGAATCACCTGTCATTTGATGAAGAGATGGTATTTAGTCAGGCTGCTATCTGTATTGATCATTGTCTTCAACATAGCTCAGTTACTAAAGAAGTTGTCATTAATCTTAATCCCATCTTGTGCTCTTTATTGAATGTAAAGATAAGTACTCCTGACCGAATTGATGATTTGTGCTCTGCTTTGGGCTCCCTCAAACAAGCCTCCATCACAATACATCAACATGGTGTGCACAAGGAGACTGTAAGCACCATGTTAAAAAATGTAATTTTGGCTGGAAAGAATCATGTGAATCAGAAGATTAAGGCCTCTATTACTCAGTTAAGCAATTTTTCTGAAGAGAAAATGTCTCCTGAAAAAGAGAAGTCTTTGTATCTTGTGAATGGAAGTACCTTAGCTAATTGTGCTTCTCCCAAGTCGTTCAGCAAGAAATTACCTACAATTCAAATGTCACCCTCAAATTTGTCACCTGGCAACTCCAAGAGGAAGGTTCAAGTTATAAGTTGTGCTCCAGATGGAAAATTTGTTCGCATTGAGACACCTCCAAAGAAGATAATTTTAACTGAACATCAAAAGGAGGTAAGAAGAGAAAGACGCCAAGATATTCCAGCTCTGTATCAGGACCTCTCTCAAGCCTCTCAGAGTATGACTCAAGATGTTACTCAAGATGTTATTCCCCTTTCCACTTCACCCAAGAAGAGGCCAAATGGTATAACCTTAGATGAAGATGCTGTCATGGACACAGGTGATGTTGATACCAATATCCAGGTGCTTTACTCAAAAACAATTGACTCACCTGCGTCTTCAAAGAAGGTTAAGATGGAATGTGAGTCCAACTTGGATGTTCCTAGTTTCACACCCCCTGCTGGTTTTGTTTTGCCTCTTACTACTGGTGACACTACTTCAAAATCTGAGAGTAAAGGCAATAGTTCTGAAAGTACTGCTACAAAAATTGAGGAGTATACGGGGAAAGAAAATGAAGACAGTTCTATTGCTTCAAAAGCAGAGAAGCTTATGAAGAAAACAACACGAGCCAACACACGTAGCAGCACCTCTACTAATTTGACAACACGCAGTGGTAAGATAGTAACAAGAACCAGTTTGTCCTTGACCTCAGAGCCTGATCTATTGAAGAAGAAAAGATCTGCCAGAAAGTCTTTACCAGTTCATAGTTCTGAAGAAATTCTTAAAAAGAACTCTGTTGAAAATTTAGAGTCTGATACTACTGATACTGAAAGCATAAGTAGTAACACTAGTGATGCCAGTGGCTCTGGCATAAAGTCAGCGAAGATGCAAGGTGTTCATAAAAGACGCTCACTGAAAAGAGAGTTGTCTCTTGAACTGTCAGCAGATTCTGAGAAAAACGCTAACGGTCCCAAGAACACAGCAGTTACAGCTGATGAGAAAAAAGAAAAGAATGGGAAAGTAAGCCCTCTTGAAAAGTCTAAGAAGAACAGCCAGGATTTGTCACAGAAAAAGGTTGGGGGTAAGGTGTTAACTAGGAGTCGCTCTAACTCTAGTTTGGATGACCTTGTCAATACTAGTTCTGTCAAACTTGTGAAAGAAGACGTTAGCACTGACTCCTCGATCAGGCCAATGAGTCCCATTGTTGAATCTAATCTTATGTTGGAAAGATCACAAGATGAAAGTTGCCGGTTTCCGAAACATAATGGAGTTGATTTAGTTGCTCAACAAAATGACGTCATACCAGAAGATGAAACTTCAGCTGGTGCCAGTCGAATTACTAGAAAAGTTGTTAAATCTTGTGCTTCTCCTGTTCCAAATTTATCTGCTAAATCTATCAGTCCTCAAATCTCAAAACCAGTCATCATTAAAAACGAAAAGGTTTCAGATACAAGCAATGGAACTGTTAACAAACAGAAAGACTCACCTAAACTTTGTGAGACAATCAAGCAATCTGATGTTATAGAAGTAGGAGCTGACTGTACCTTAGAGGAACATGGTGTTTTAGATAGCAGTTCACAAGAATCACAAGAAATAATAGAAAGTTCACAAGAACCTATGAGCAAGATGAAACAATGTGTTGTTAGTCTTGAGCTGTTCCGATGTGCTGAACCAAATGAGAAAAGGGAATTGGAGGACGTGATTGTGAAGAGTGGTCCTGATTCATGTAGTCCTTTTAAAGTTCTTCCCAAAAGTGTGGATGAGATATCTCCAACAACTCAGAAACTTGTATGTCGGTCACTTAACATGGATGGTGATATGGATGACTCTGTCCCATTATCAGCTTTGAAAATGAAAACTTCGACCGTAGCAGAAAACACAGTCATGTCACCTGAAAAAGATTTGAAAAGTACGCTGTCAAGTTCCCATGAAACGTCAGAGCCTCATGTTTCGCCAAAGAAGGCTTCAGTCAGTGGTGCTATAGTAAAAGGCTCTCCCAAAAAAGCCTATCAGTCAGAGAATGAAAAGAACCAAGAGTCTGCTTCAGTTGCTGAGTCACTTCCACCATCATGGAACAGTTCTATGCCTGAATGGATGCATGAGAAAAAGAGTTCACCCTCTAGTAAGACTCTGAGGATTGTTCGTACACCTACTTCAAGAAGTCAAGCTTTCTTGAAGTCTGTCTCCCCTCCTAAGCCAACTGATATGTCACCAATCTCTTCTCCTGTTCAACCAAAAAGGATTCAAAAGACGGAATTGCAAAGCAATACCACTCCCATTATTAATAGATCTAGTCGTGCTGCACAATTGTTGGGTAAGTTGCACAATATGTAAAACAATTCTCACCATTGTAGTTTTTGAAAAAATACATGAATGTATGTATTTTCTGAATTTCTTAGGATTGGGACAAGCCGCTGCTGCGAGAGGTGGCGAAACTGTGGTTTCAAATGGCAACAGATCCAATCGATCTGAGGCAGAAGAGAACGAAGTGATTGTTTCTGCTTCAACTTCTACATCCTCCGGTACCTGTGTTGTTTCAAACACAATGGCCACCAGTGTGGTCAATGCCTCTGTAACCACTGTCTCTGTTGTGGCTTCTCCATCAGTTAGAAGACAAGGAAGGCTACTAGAAATGGCTACCCCTCAAAAAAGTTTAGAGGATGAAGGGTAGGGTGACTGTCTTGTTGTGTGTATTAGTTATCATGTCAAAGACTTATTTCATCAGAATCTCATATTTTGTAGGCTGAAGAAAGATTGGATTCGCAAAACACCATGTGCTACTGCAACTCCAGACACAAGTATCTTGAAAAGGAAAAGAGAAGTAGATTCTGATGCACCATCTCCTAGTTTAAAGGTAATATTAAAACAACTACATCTTAGTTCAGAAATTTTTCATGCTATGCTTCTTATTAAACTGGGCTTCAATTTTATTTTAGAGGAAAAGAGTTAGCTTTAGAGACCCTCCATTATCAAGTTTACTCAGATTTAATGAAACTGCTGAAACTCCAGGAACAGTATTCAGCTCCGACCCATCTGACAGTATGTATATGCATTGACGCTTCTCAACACATGTTAAAAACCCTGTTGATTTTTGAAAATTCATCTCTCTCTTTTTCTTATCTTTTTTTTTTACCCCTTTACTCAGATTTGGATATGGCAGCTGAGATCTTGCCAATAGACCAAGATCAGGAGATCTCTAAAACTGTTGTGGAGATTGAGGCTGAAGTTCAATCCACTCAGAAAGCTACAGACACATGTTCTGCGACAAATGAAAGTTCATCTTCAACTAATCTAGATATACCGATTGAAGCTACTATTCCAAGCGGCATTGGCTCAAAGAAGAGAAAGGCTTCAGGAAATGACGAGTGTAATGACAATCTGAAAGACAGACCGGTGATCAGTACTAGGGTCAGTAGTAGTGATAATGGGACTCACATGCTGAGATCTGCAAGTCCTGACAAACGAGATCATGATAATCAAAGAAATTCCAAAAAAAGCAGTAAATCAGTCTCTGCACCGAGAGAAAATTTCCAAACCCCTGAAATTGAAAATGAAGAAAGTTCTGATTCAGATGAAATGGAAGTAGACGAAGATGCACAAAACCAAGGTGAATGTCTTGAGACTAATAGCGAACAATTGGAAGCTGGAACTGAAGGCATGCTAGATGATCTTCCTCATTTACCATCAGGCTTGTCACCGGTCTACCAAAATCTTTTGGATTGCACTCACCCAGTTGAGTGTATTTCGTCAAAATTGACGACTCCAGTCTGGTAAGATAACATTTATTTCCTAAGTAAAATAATTTCATAGTAATAAGTAAAATATATATTTATAGTAATATCTATCTATATAGTAAGTAATATAATATTATTTTTCTCTTTGTCATGTTAATCTAATCTAAATTCATCCCAAATGTTAACAGGAAGAAATCACTTCTGCGGGAGTTTTCAGAGCAAGGCATCCACACTGTTGGTGACCTAGCCAAATTGACGCAAGAAAGGCTTGATCGCCTTTCTGTTAAACCTCCTAAAAGAACAAACGTCTGCAGTGTTCTTGAGGTGCAGTAGTACATTTTTAGATCTACTTTTCTGTTGTAGATTAGTATATTTGGCTCTTTGTTTACAAGCCCATTCTCTACTTTTCTAGGACTTTGAAAAACGCCATGCCCACTCCGGTTCTCATTTAATTTGTGGTATGTTTTCAAGACTTTTTTTTGTTTTTCTTAAATTTCAAACTTTTATTTTATTTTGAATTGCTATCTTACAGAATGTGTGTGTGTCTTAATCTGTTTCAGGGAGTTCCAAAGATGTTATTACACCTTTTGATCAACCAGGACACAGCTTAAAGGTTTGTTGAAATTCACAGTATTAATATTAAAGTTTTACTCAGTGATGAAATGACTGTTCTTATTTCCTTCTGGTTTTAGGATGCACTTGCCACTGCATCGGATGAAGAGATTATAACAAAACTAACTGAATTAGGGAGGATGCCCAAATTTTGTCCTTTAGTAATAAAAGCATCTGAGCCTCATGATGTTGCTGAAAACATAGCTAAAATAAAAAATGTTCTGCAAGCTCTTCCTGTAGATACAGTTGCTGAAATGTATTTATCTCAAGTTGGTAAAAGCAGTGGAAGAGTAGAGAAGAATGTATCGGTGGAGGGGCTTGCTTTGATTTTAAGTCGAGTTCAAGCTGGAGTTTTGCAAGATACCATATTTCCTGCTGTGCCGTCTATTTTATCATCTGTTCATTCTGACGCAATGCGAAATTACGTCTTACGAGAGTTTTCTCCTTCAGAAATTGTGCAGCAAATGGACAATGATAAGATGTACCAGTTGTTGGATGCTATTTCTGCCAGGCTAGGTACTGGAGAGTTTGCCTCTAAGGTACTTTCAAAACTGAATGAAAAGGAAATTGCTCAGCATTTAGATGAGTCTCATATTGAAAGGACAGTAAAGGCACTCCTTTCCAAACTTGACTTCAGACAAAGCTTAAAGTTTCTCTTTGATCATGGACAGGATATTCTTAAAGAGCCTAATAATAAATAAATGAGGCATGTACATGATTTTAAGTGACTAGGTGATAAGAAGTTCCTAAAGTCTGTTTTTTATACTATGACATCTTTATTGTACGTACTCACTATTATGAATGACATTAGTTATGTTCAATGTGACTGAATTACAATATTAGAAATCATTAGAAATCTCTGCCGACGTCATCTGTACTCCTATACAGTATTCCAGTAGTTTTTTTCTTTTATTGTTTTGTTTTTAGGCTGGGTGTCTGCATGTCACACTGTAGTTATTAAGTTATTTAAATAGACTGCCTTGTGGGTTTTCAATTTTCAGTGCCTTTATGTTCACTGAAAGAAACTCCTGACATGAATCACTGTCAGACTTCCTATTTCATAGTGTTTCCAATTTTAACTGCCAAGATGAAATTGAATTAAATTCTGTGATATTTATCCCCCGTGTTTTTTCTTCTGTGTAGCAGTTTTAAAAATTAAATCGTTATAGCAGTAAAATGACTAAGATAAAGTGTTTTACCATTTTAAGTCTAATCAATTACCTGCTGTATACTTGAATATTGGATTGTCCTTACTTCACATTGTAGTGGTGAATAATAAAAATGAATGAATGAGCTTAAAATGAGTTATGTTTGGGAAGTCCCCTCACCGGGTTCCCCCACACTGCTAGGGTTGAGGGTTAGTTAAGGTGATTGCTTTACAGCCTTTATAAGGCTTTCAAACTAGAAAAATTTGTCATGTTTGAGCTAGGACATACGTTTTTTTTATATTGGATTTTCTGATTTCGAGAGTGGGCGAAGGGAGACGGCCCCGATTGTCCGAACCTAATTTATCTATTTTAGTAAATAAAATGAGTAAAGTAGTTAATTACATTATGTTATTTC